AGAAATAAGAAGCCTAATTTGTTTTATTTTTTTCTAGTTCTTAATTGCTTTTAATAATATATTATTATAAACTTTAAAAGCTATTTAGAAAGCAAATTAGGCTATAATATAATTACTATATTTATAAATTACTTATTTAAATATCTAATTACAATTCCTATATAAAATATAATTATAGCCAAATAGCTAATATTTCTGTTTTTATTTTATATAATATATTAAATAGGTATTTTAGAAACAATTATATTAGATTAGAGACCCTAATTTATATCCGATTTTTAAAGCAAATTCTATATAAGAATTAGTATAAAGCTTAAGCTCTTAATAGCTAATTATCTTTAAATAAATAAATAAATAGAGATTATTAATTAGTATTTTAATTAGAAATTATATTTATATATTAACTATTATTAGAATAACTAGAATAAATGAGTTACTATAATCGATTATTAATAAGCCTTTCTTTAATATAAAACTATTAGCTAGTTTCTATTTATAACTAAAAAGGGCTATAAGTCTTATATATCTCTGGACTAGAACTTTTCTATTAAAGCTAGCTTATCTAAAGAGAAGCTAAATAGAAATAAAGCTAAAATATTAGTAAATTAATTATATAAATTATAATAACTTATCTAAGGTTATATAGAATAAATATAGAAATAATATATAATATAAGCTAATAAATACTACTATCTAATTAATTTCAAAGTCGGAAATAAAATATAAATTATTATAAAGTACTAGAAATCTAATTATCTGAGCCAGAAGCTAATAGTCGGACTTAACGTCGCGCTAAAGGGGCCCTTCCCTTTAGTCGGGGAAAGCGAGTTGTCCCGGGAAAGCGAGTTATCCCGTACCATACCAAAATTTCTATGTAATTGCAGATACTTGAATTACACCATACAACCAAATAACCCTTAAATTAATATGCAATTGAGGATATAATCTCTTATTACTCTAATACTACAAAATCTGTATTTTGAGCTATTAAATTAGTTAATATTACTAATCTAGGTAGTAAAGAATACAGAACTACCTCCTCCCCACTAACCCCACTATTTATATTCTCTCGTATCTCCTCTATCTCCTTATCTGATCCCCTAGACTCCTCTAATATTGCCCGTATATATAATTAACTAAGAGGGTTCCCCTTTATCTGGTAAGCTTATTCAGATACAAGTATTACAGGATTAATAGGGATATCGGTAAAGATTACGGGATCTTCGGCCTATATATGATCGAATTCAGCTTGCTCCTTAGCTACCTTATTATAAAGTAATTGGTACTTAATTCGAATGGCTTCAAGCTTGCTTTCCGTAGGTTCGGTTTGGGAATCGCGAATTGGTATTAGGAGCTCGGGAGGGATAATTGTATTAGTTCCAAAGACTTGCTTCCTTGCTTATACCTCCAGATCTCTTACTCTCTTCTTCCTCTCTCTCTCTCTGCCGCTTATATAGCGATTCCTACTCTTTTGAGAGCTTCCTTTTCAGCTAATTTAGCCTTTGCAAGCTGTCTTTTAGCCTTCTTTAGTTCCTTTTCTACTATATTCCTCACTTTAATCTTCTTCTTTTCTAGAGCATTAGATGCATTTAACTACCCCTCCCTTTGGAAACTAAGCCGTATATTTAGCTTAGCCTTATAACATTTAACCTGTACCTTATAAGCATTCTGGGTATCTAGCTCTTATAAACTTCCAAGTATTAGGTAGTTCTTAGTAGCCTTAATCGTAACTGAATACTCTTTGCGAGGAGAGGAGTTTAAAGCATCCAGAATCTTATTATTGAGATTATTGAGCCGTAGAACGCATTCGTTATATAAAGAAGAAGGTTTTGGAAGGATAAGTAATTGGTATTTATAAATAGGAGCAGGAGCAGGCGTAGTAAATCGTATGTTTTCTGCATTTTCTGTATCCGATTCAGTTTCCGATTCAGATCCAAACTCCAGAAATTAAAGGCCAGTATCTTTCCTTCTCTTTTTACTATACTTCTTAAGCTTTCTCCGTACTGCTTTGAAACTAACAGGCCAAATTCCAGTATTCTAAAAGGCGTATTTAATTATATAAATAGTAAATGTCTTCTCCCGTATTCCAGAAAGATTATGAAAGAAGTACTAGATATTATATTCCGGCTTATACGAGCGAATTATATTTATAATATTAACCTATTAGTAGTATTTCCATTTCCTAAAAATACTAATATTATATAGTTAAAGTAGGTGGGTTTAGTAAGAGGGGAATTAGATAATTTATATCTTATTAAATATAGCTTTTAGAATAAAATCGTCCGCTTAATAGTAAGTTACTTCGTTAATCAAGAGAATATGCTATTTCTTATTAGGACCGCAGTTATTATACTTAATAAAATAGTCTAATTAAATCATATAAATACCCTCGTTCATATATCCTATAGGAGAGACTATAATAACCTTATAACCGGTTATATTTTTATAGAACCAAGAAATCATAATTATAATTCCAGGGATAATTACTACCGGAGGAATTGCCTTGCTATCTATAGATATATACTTAATTATTATAAGAGATATATGATTTTCTGGTATTCCTGTATATATCTCCTTAATTCTAATTAGAACTACTACTTCCTCTCCTATAGGCATACAAATTCGTACTTCTTTCTCGTCTATATTATATATCCGATCCCTATAATATATACTAGTTTCTTCTAATACCGGACGATATTTAGTCTCAAACCAATTACGGAGGCTCTATTTAGTATAGAGATTAATAGGTAGCTTGTAATAGGCTTCGTCTTAATTATATATAGTTCTAGAATATTCTTTAGCTATTAAGAGAACTATTTCTAAGATAAAGCTATTTTATTATCCTCTATTTATATCCATATTATATAATTATATATTATTTGCTTTATAGCTCTTTTCCCTTTATTAATTACATATAATACCATATACTAAATTAATGCCTCGTATTAATTAGAATATAAGATCTTATTCTGGCCTCCCTATTATACTCTCGCTATTCCCATCTTCTTTCTCTCTCTCTACTATGCTTTCTTTATTATATCTTTATTTCGTATATAATATACGCATACCGCAGTCGCAGGAGTCTCTTCTGGGTTAGCCTTAAGGAATTAAATAGCTTTATAGAGCTTATCTCTCTCTGGTATATTATAGAAGAATATATTATTTATCTAGTTATATCTAATACTTAAATATCCTTTTAGCTGCTTTATAAGTCTTTTTCTAACTTTATAAGGCTTTCTAGCCAGTAATATTTATTATTTATAGAAATAATAAGGTAATAAAATTATTAATTAGAGAATCTTAAGAAATATTAATAGCTTACTTTTTAATTATATATATATTAAATAACTCAGTTAGATAGACTTACTTACTAGTATTATTTTCTATTAGTTTATATTTATTTAATATAACTTCCTATATTTTTATTAATAGACTTGGCAAAAATACTAGTATTAATATATATTAATACTTGTTCTATAATATTTATATCTAAATAATAAAAAATCTAGTATACCGGAAATAACTAATAAGATTATAAGAATCGCGGATTTTTTGCTATAATATTCTCTTTAAACTAATTATAAAAAAAAATTATATTTAAAGTTAGTAATAGACTTATTATATAAGTTCTATTTATATAACAACTTGTAAATATTAAAATTTGTCTAATTTTCCGGTATACTGGGTTTTCTATTATATAAAAACAGATATTATTTTAATTATTATTTAATTATTCTTATTTACTATTATTTTATATAACTCAAAAATTAAAAATTTATAAGTATTAAGAATGCTAGTAATTTGGTTTAAATAAATATATAAAATAACTAAATCTTTAATAAAAATATTAATATTTATTAAAATTGTAATTTTATAAGTTTTGCAATCCCGATAAGCTTATCGCTAAATTTATAGGCTAGAGGCCCCTAAATTTTCGCGCAAATTTAGCAATAAGGTATTAATACTAAAATTTCTAGTATTTTTGCCGAGCCTGCAGTTATTAGAGGCAATAATCGAGAGCGGCAGAGATAAGATATTATTCAAGTCTTTAATAGACGAAAACAGGCATATATGCTGCCACGCCGAACCTAGCATCAATGGCTCATTCCTGCAGGCGGCAATTTCTGGAGGCGCCAGTTCTTGGAGGCAGCTATGTACTCATGCCGGAGGATCAGAAAACGCCCCTCGCTTAATCTTGGCGTCCGGAAAAGGGGCTGGCGTCTGAAGTTTCACACCTCCATTTGTGGCTCCTTGCTTTATGTAGCCCCATTGTTTTAAATCAGTAAGCTGCATTTATTGGAAAACTCACAAATCTCAGATACAGTCGCTTGCAAAATCGGCTTCGCGCCTTTTCGTTAAAAAAATTGCGAGCACAGACCACCTCATCCACTTTTGGCGCTGACTTCATACCCCTTAGTCATCCCCTGTACTCCGAAGTACCTGCTGTACAGTGAAGAAATAAGTCGCCCATTGGTACAGTACTAGGTAGAGTGAGCGAGCAAATTCCTTCTATCTCTCTCTTTGTCACTATAGACTTTGATTTGTTCTTGACCATTTGACTGGTTGGAGGGAGCCCCCGCTCGGTAAGACGGTTGATTTGATCGATTAGAACTTGCTCCTGCGTGTTGGTAAGACATTGGTTGACTTCTGACTAGTACTCTCGTCGGGACAGCGTAGACCGCACAAATTAGTACTTTTGAGCTATTTCACTGTAATTAGGGGTCGAAGAGCTTTCTAATTCAGCCAGCGCCTTGCCTTCTTCATACGTTCTTCGTGCGACATTTTATGGGCCTTCAAAGTTGGTGGTTTGGTAAGGGAGAAAGCGTGCATTTCGGTGGACCGTGCATTTCGGCGGGAAATCGAGTAATTGGCTGATTTTGCGAGCTGAAGCGATGCCTATCCACGTCTCGTTGCGAGGCAACCCTTCTGCTCTGTCGACAAGAGCACCAGCTTCAATTCAACCTCCATTTTCAACTCAACAAACAACCTCGTACACATGCCTACTCTGCGACAATCATTCACTGAGAACCTTCCTTCCTGAGATTTCTCGGATTTGATCCATCTAATGCGTCTTCTGCAGAGCAACGACGGCGGCGAGTTTAGCCTCACCAAAGACCTCTATGACAATATTCCCCGCTATACTATACTTTCGCATACATGGGGTGCGGATACTGAAGAGGTCAGTTTCAGAGACTTAATAAATGGTACCGGCAAGGATAAAGCAGGCTATAACAAGATCCGGTTCTGTGGAGAATAGGCTAGGCGGGAAGGCATATACAACTTTTGGGTGGATACTTATTATATTAACAAATCGAATTATTCTGAGCTTGCAGAGGCCATTACCTCTATATTCTATTAGTACCAAAATGCGGCTATATACTATATCTATCTATTAGATATTTCAATAACCGGTTATAATCAAGTTGACTTATCTTTATAGTCGTAGTATTTAGCCTTTCGGAAGAGTCAATGGTTTATCTATAGTTAGATACTTCAAGAACTAATTACTCCGCAATTAGCTGTCTTCTTTTACTCAAATAGTAATTGACTCGGTAACAGGAATTCGTTAGAGCGACTACTTCATGAAATAACGGGAATTGCGGTATCGGCTCTTCAAGGAACTAGTCTATCTATATTTAATAAAATAGAGCAGTAATTATAGGCAGAATATCGTAATACCAAGTATATAGAAGACAAGGCCTATTCTTTACTAGGTATTTTCGATATCTCTATACTACTTATCTATAGTAAAGAGGCGGAAAAGGCATTTGGGAGGCTGCGAGAGAAGCTTTATAAATATGTAATAAAACGGAATCTTAATAATCTATTAACTATTTTGCTACCTACTTTAAATATTACTAAATAATTAAAGACTTTATAAAGCCATTTGTTCTCTATTTCTTCGAATTATAACCTGAACTTTCTTGACCCTAATTATATTATATATAATAGTAAGTATTAATCTATTAATTATTTATATTAAGGAAATACTAACTAGTAGCTAATTATTAGAAAACTTACTAGAGACCCGAAAAAAGCTAGTCATAAGTATTAATACTATTATAAAATAGTTACTAATTAACTAACTCTATTTTACTAAAATTAACGAGTATCTAATAAGTCTAATGGCTGCCCAAGGCACAACTTGCTACTAGTTCCTTACTATACCTCAATATATATCCTGATATAATATAATATATTAGGCCAATTATAGTAGCTTTATTTAAATATAAGGAAAGCCTGGTACCGGAAAATCAATTCTAATAAAACTTCTTTTTAAAGTAATTAAGCTTAATATAAAAAATAATTCCTCGCAAATTATACTATTATTTTTCTTTTTTATATAGGATATTATTAAAGAGAAGTCAATAATAGATCTATACCGCTTTCTTCTATATTAGCTTCTCGAAAAGGCAGTAAAGTTAAAAGATAGTTTAGAATAGATAATAGCTAATAGTATAAGGGCTATTCTATAGAGCAGATAATATAAAGAAGCCTTAAAGCAAACTTTAATATATATTATTAAAAAGCTTAGAAGTCGGTTATTAATAATATTTATTAATATATTAAATAAGTATAATAATAATCAGGCTACTAGTATAGTTGGCTTCTTTGAGGAGATATATAATATTATAAGAGAGATATAGGTTCGGTTAAAAATTTGCTTTTCTAGTTAGTATTATCTAATAATTAATATCTAAAAGGAAATTAAAGTTACTTTAAAATATAAAATAGAATATATAGAAGATATTAAGTAGTATATTAAATTGAAACTCAAGATAAGTAAAATAAAGAAAGTTGAAATACTTTAGTATAATATTCTCGAAATATCTTATAATATTTTTCTCTGAGTTATTCTAATTATTAATATTCTTAATACTAAATACCGTAATGGCTCTACTATTACTAAGATCCGTAATTGCCTTAAGGAAATCCTATTAGAACTAAATAACCTCTTTGAGATAATTATTATATGAGATAGAGAGAATCTCGACTAGCTATAGATTTGTCTCAAATGGGTTCTCTTTATAACTTGCCCTTTCGAGCTATCTGAACTCTATTTCACTATTTAGATTTCTTTTAATAACGAGTACTCGGATCTTTGGAACTAAGATAATATAGATTTAAATTAAATAAAGATATTTATAAGAAGTTCTTCTAAGGGCCTAGCTAAGGTTATATGAAATAAGGTATTAGAAGTCTAGTTTATTTACGAGTCTATTTGAGACTTCTTATTTAGTAAATATAAGGGCCAGTTATCTGGATCTTCCGAAAATTTTATGAGTTATAGCTATAAGATATTAAGGAACTACTATTTGGCTTAGCTAAATACTTTAATTAGTCAAAATATTAATATTCTAGACTCTCTATTATAGGCATCTAAAGTAGTATATCTGCAGGAAACTATTAATTTAAAGTTCTCCTTTCTCGAATATTTGGTTTTTAATATCTTATACTATATTAATAGTACTTAATAGAATAATATAGAGCAAGCGAATTTTCTGGCCAAGTTTCCTTTTTAATAATAGAAATTCCTTAATAATACTTTTAAAAGATATAAGATTAGGTAATATAATAATTTAGTTAGTATACTTTATATTCTTATAGAAAAGAATTTGGCTAATCTAATTCGAATTCATTCTCAGAGGAAGTCCTGCTTTAATATTAAAAATAGGTATTATAGACTACTATTTTTTATAATACTAGCTACTAGAAATACTAAAGCTATTTATATACTTTTTAATATTTAAGCGGAAATTCAGTTCCCTATATCTCTATTCTATGAATTATATAAATAATATTACCAGAATAAAAAGAAATAGGCTAACCTTAGATATAACTTTACTTTCTTACGAAAAAGGGGTATTCTCTTATATACTATAGAATATAGTAATGAGATACTTCTTTTTTTGTAATTAAATTAGAATAATATATATTAGATAGTAGGAATATAGATAATCGGACGCCCCTATTATGGGCTACTAAGTACGGGCATATCGAGGTTATTAAGCTACTGCTCAAAAAGGGGGCTGATATAAATACGGCTGATTTAAGCGAGTGGAAGCCACTATACCAGGCCTTTGAGTACAGGTATATTAAGGTTATCAAACTACTACTCGAGAAGAGGGCCAATATAAATGCAGCTAATCTAAGTAGTTTAATACCCCTATTATGGGCAGGGTCGAGGCAGGTAGACGCCCCTGCACCAGGCCTCTGAGTATGGGCATATCGAGGTCGTCAAGCTGCTGCTCGAGAAGGGGGCCGACGTAAATGCGGCTGGTCAGATGCTATTCTACCGGGCCTCTGAGTACGGATACATTGAGGTTATCAAGCTGCTGCTCGAGAATGGGGCTGATGTAAAGGCGGCTGATCAAAGCGGGTTAATATCCCTATTATAGGCTACTGAGTACGGGCATGTCGAGGTTATTAAGCTGCTGCTCGAGAAGAGGGCCGATGTGAATGCGGCTGGTCCAAGCGGGTGGAAGCCACTATACCAGGCCTCTAAATATGCACATATCGAGGTCATTAAGCTATTACTCGAAAAGAGGGCTAATATAAATACAGCTAATCTAAACAGATAAACGACCCTATTATAGGCTACTAAGTACGGGTATATTAAGGTTACTAAGCTACTACTCGAGAAGGGGGCTAATATAAATGCGGCTAATACAAGCGGGTTAATAACCCTATTATAGGCTGCTAAATACAGGCATATCGAGGTTATTAAGCTATTATCTAGTAGTGGCTAATAGTAGCTAAGTTTAATGAATTAATATCCGTTCCTATATAGTAAAAAAACCGGTATATCGAAAAATTAATCAAATTTCAAATTTCATAAATTACTATATTAATAGAAATAGTATAAAAAACTTATTTCCAACTTTAAATATAAAAACTTTTTATTATATTTAGCTTAAAGAGAATATTATAAAGAAAAATCCGCGGATTCTAGTAATCTCATTAATTATTTTCGGTATACCGGGTTTTTTACTATATAGAAACAGATATTAATACTTTTTATTATATTTAGTCTATATTTAAAATAGGGACCGAGGTAGTAATTAAATAAATACTACTTGTCTTAACTTTTTAAAACTAATATATTAAGATAATTAACTAATTCATATTTTTTTTAATTCTTTAACTTTAGTAAAGAGAAGCTCGAGAGAGCTAATCTTTATATATAGTAATTAAATTAGTATTAAAATGCTTTTTTATAAATTTGTAAATATACTAGATTAGTAAGTTTAGAGTATTCTAGTACTTTTACTTAATATTCTTTTAATATCTATTTCTCTATTTAATAGTACTTGTAATATTATATATAATATATAGTACGTGCTATAGGGCACGTGATATATATTACGTGATATATATATAATATTAAGTATATTAGTAATTAAGTTATAAATAATATAGCCTTTTGGCCCGGTTAGTAATATAGAAACAAGCTTAACCTATATATATATATATATTATATTATATGTCTATTTAGGACATTTGTCAGGAGTTATAATTAGCTAAGTTAGTATATAACTAGGTAATAACCCCCGGCAGAATACTTGTATTTAAGCTTGAGCTTGTTTCTGCTTACTTCTCTTCTTTCTTTAGTTCAGAATGGCTTTAATAAAAGTACCTTATCCTTTGCCTTCCAGGTCTAAAGGATATATTCGTAATATATTACTCTAAACCGAGAATACCAAATTTCTACTTCTAGTTAATAACTTCAAAAATAAGAAAATATTATCTTTATATAGATTAATCTATAAATAATAAAGTATTATATCCTTTATATTCTTTATATTTCTTATTAACTCAAAAGTCTTTAATATTATTATTATAATATTAAAAAATAAGTAAGTATTAATAAAATTATTTTTTATATAAAATTTGGCAAGCTATTTAATTAAGCTAATAAAACTCGATTATCTTAATAATAGATATTAATATATATTACTATTATAAATCAAATATATATTCTTTAGTCTTAAGGGATTTCATTAAAAGATGAACACTTGGTTTAATCGTCGGTTCTTTCTTCCAGTTCGCATTCACGATTGATTCTCAAACTGTTGACCTTTGATATGGCTGTTCTCCACGTGGTGGTTCACCAGGTCACCAGGGTTCTGGTGGTTGCAAACATCACCCATCGTTCGGGAATTCGCTGCCGCCGACTCGTCATTCACCAAACATTTGAATTTCGTTCCCACGAGCGCATTTCCCACTTCAACGCGCCATAACACCAGCGGGCAATGCTAGTGAGCCGTTCAGCAGTGCTTCAAGATGACAGGCTACAAACGTGTATTTTTGGGCTGTTGGGTGTCGTTAGATGAGGTCTCTCTAGACAGTTCTACTGCCGAAGAAGTCTCTGGACCGTCCGACGAGCAGATCGACAGTATCTTCCAGGCGTGTAAGTCTCCTATAAAATCGGCATAAACAGACTACTGACTTGCCTCTTGTCCGTCACCATCGAGTCGAGATACGCCACGAGGGAGATATACCCTCCAATCCTCTCATCATACTCGAAGACACCCCTTCCGTCACGGGTGCGGCTGATACCAATACACCGCCTCAGAGCCCTCCGCATGAATATTTCGAGCCATAGAGTCTTTCAACGTCCTAATACCGATCCTCACGCAACGAAACCACTTGGAGGGGAAGATTGATTAGTCGCTATAACCTTGTCAACGAGCCTATGGGTCAACGAGTCGTATGCCGTAGAGATGGCCAAGCAGGACGGGCTCTGACTCTAGTAATAGCCCCTTAGTATCTGTCTCTCAAAGCCTTCTTAACACCTCGAGAAGCAATACTAAGCTCTCTCTGTAGCTTCGAAAACCGATACTAACTTAATCGCATTCTCCCATATGAATTGGCGGACGTCGAAACGATCGATTGCAAGCCTGGGCGGGGCCAATATATGGATCACATATGACGATGACTCTTTGAAAGATATTGCCACGGAATAGTGGGAAATGAAGCGTTACGGAATATAAAACAGGAATCCCTTTGGCCTGAGCTGAGGTTATGATTAGTACCTTGGTTTGCGATTGGATTACTATACGGCCTATGTATTATAATCGAGTTGAGGCGAGACGGCGAGTCTGAGGATGCTGCGACGTAGCAGATTTATTATACGGGCTCTCTGGCCTTGTTTGACCGGTAGTAACTGTATTCCGTAATACGGAAAGCAAAGACTTGATGACAGTCCGGCACTACACCTCCAATTTGCCGGATACAAACCCATTACTGGATCATTTAATCTCCTCTTAATGAGGCAGGCACAGGCAGGTAGACTGGGTATATGATAAAGAGGCTATTGAGAGAAGACTCTTCTGCGAATATGCTATCCGAGAGTAGCCTAATTGAGTAAATGAAATTCACAAATGGGGCTTATTGCAGTATGGCCTCAGTTGTAAAGGAGACACTTTGTGGAGTCTAAACTTTGATGGCATGCAAACCTCTGATATTTATAAATAATTATAGATACTATAGATTATATAATTAAAGTATTATTATAGTAATAGAATAAGAAATATAAGATGTGAGAGGTTTAAGAAGTATTGCATCCCTGGTCAGCTCCCCAGATTCCAAGTGTATAGTACGCAAGTGGCTAAGTGTTATACAGTAACCTTTAATAGAGGTTGCCCAGGCCAGGTACTTTAGAGTACAAGGGATAACAAAGGAGTTACGGCGTAGTACCAACCAGCGCCAAAAACGGATGAGGTGGTCTGTACTCACTTTTTTTTTAGGCGAAAAGGGACAAAGCCGATTTTGCAAGCGACTATATAGTATAATAATAATATAATCTCTTTAATCCGTAGCATAGTATGGCCACTTTCTTCTCGCTCCCGATTAAGTTATATAATATTATCTATTCTATAATCCTTATTTCATCTTATAATATTAAAATATATAGTTTACTAGCCAAATATATCTGGGATTATAAGGGCAATAGAAGGCCAAGATATAGGAAAAGATTTGGGCAGCTTCTTCTTATTAACAAGTAACTTTATAAAGAGGCAAGCTTTATTTTTTACTTAAAGAATACCTTTCCTATTAGTACTGGTCTATATAGCTCTACTAGAATCTCTAATATCTATAAATTAAAAACTTTTTTATAATATGTTCTATAGAATTATACTAGCTATATCTATAAGCTAATAGTAATCTTTATTCTCGAATTATAATAAAGTTCCTTTAATAGAGTTCTTTACTAACCTTAAATAGTAAATATAATATATATAATATATAATTAATTATATAGTTTATCTAGAAACGCTTTTTCTATATTTATAAAATTAGTATTAAGTATATAAGAGAAGAAAGATTTTTTTTTCAGACCAAATAGCTATAAATTAAGAAGTAACTAAAATAGTAATAGGTATTTTAAACTATAATACTTTAAGTTTTATTAAGCTATATCTAATATATCCGAAATATCTATAAAAACAGTTATATAGAGGCTAAATAAATACTTATAAAGAAAGCAAGTACTTTTGGAAGTATAATATATAAAGAAAATAATAGAAAGATATTAAATTTATATATAATAAAAGTATTTAGAAACTATAAAGAAATATAAAGAAGTTAGTTAATATTATTAGAATAAGCTAAAGAAGTAATATAAATATAACTTACTTATAAAACTTAATAGAAATATTCTATTTTTACTTATATATATAATCGAATTTCTTTCTATATTATAATAGTACTAAATAGTAGCTCTAGTAATTATATATAGCCTAAAAATAGAAATAAAGTATTTAATAGACTTATTAAAATCTCAATTATTCTTTTTAAAATACAAAATATAATTAACTAGTAATATTTCAAGAATTATTAAAATTAATAAATTAAAAGTTTAGAATTCTTTTTAGCTATATATTTAATAACTACTTAGTTATTTTTTTCTCCGGCCCTTATTAAGCTAGTATTTCCAAGAGCTATATACTCCTATAAATTTTTTACTAGAAGCCTATAGCCTTTTATAAATTATATACTTCTATAAATTTTCTTCTAATAACCTATAATTTCTTATAAATTTTCTTTTAAGTAATATATATATATAACCAAAATAATATATAACTAAATATAGCTACTATAAGCTAAGATACCAGAAATGGCTTTTTAATAAATAGCTATAATTAACTTAATAATTAAGTGCCAGAAATGCCTTCTATTAGATAGTTATCTTTTAAGAGCAAGAATTAGCTCTCTTAAAAGCAAAATAGCCAGAACTGGCTTAAGCAAGAAATGGCTTCTTAGAAATTATATTATATAGCTTTCTAAAAACAAAAGGTTTATAGAGATTATATTAAAGAAATTATAGTTCTATAAAGGCTATAGCTTTAAAGCAATTATACTAAAAAGTAAATGGCTTTATAGTAATTATACTAAAGCAAGTATAGCTTTTTAGAGACTATAGCTTTCTAGAAACAGATCTGAAAAGAGTAAAGCTTTTTAGAGATATAGATAACAGATATATAATAGATATAATTATAATAACTTTAAGTTATTTGAAAGTTTATTTCTAATATCTATTTCTATATACTAAAAAAACTAATATATTAAAAAAATAAAAGGTATTTTAATTTAAAGTATCTTAAAATTAATATATATTTTAATATCTCTTATAATTTCTAATAGATTATATTCTATAGCTATTTCTAGATATCTTAAATTTCTTTTACTAGAAAATTATATAGTACTAGTCAACAAGTTCTCGTGATTTGGTGTTTTTACTACAAAAGTCACCTGATTCACTTCTGAGTTTTATAGTAAAGGGATTAATTTAATACAACGCCCAACTAGCACCTAACTAACTCGAATATTTTGTGTATTTCTGTCTCTTTACAAAGTATTTATATGCTAAGGTCGTAGATTAATTAAGGAGTAAATCGTGGGAAGGGAAGTTAAATCGTGATTTCACACCTATTTTCGCTTAATTCTTATACCCCGCACCTTTCCCTTACCAAATTCCAAACCTCTTCCATTATAATTTAATTCTAAAGAGACAGATTAATTAGAATTGTTCGAGTTAGTCTATGTTTTAATTCTTTTATATAGTTATTACGCAAAATTGCCTTGAAATAAAACGGTATTCCTCGTGAGTTTTAATATAATTTACTTAAATTACAAGAACTTATTAGCGGTTACTATATCTGATTTATAAAAAATATTAATTTATAATATAATAGTATTCCTTTATTATAGCTTTACTACTAACCTTATATTATATCTAATACTTCTAAAAGAGTCTTATTCAAGATCTAAAGTCTTAGTACTATATATAAAATTATTATTAGCTAAATAGTACTATAGTAAATAAAATTCAAGTAAGATTATTATATAAATTAGTATTTTAGCTAATAATTTTGGCTTAGTATAAAATAGCCCTATATGTTTTATTTATATTAAATCTAATTTCTAATACCTTAGATATTAAGGCTAGTAATAGCTAGAGGCACTTTAATACCTTATATATATCAGGTATTATATCTAGCTTAATAATAACTTTAAAGTCTAGTAATAGTACTATATTTGGTCTAGATATAAAAATCTTATATAAAATCTTATATAAAATAATCTAGAAGATTCTAGAAACCGAATAGTAATTATTAATTACTATAAAGTCTTATATTTCCTGTAATAGCTAGTATAACTATAGGATCTGCCGGAAATAGAAATCAGAAAACAGATATAAAACAGAATTAAGCCAAAAGGTTTAGACAAAGCAGTACTAAAGGTTAAGGTATTTCTCTCTCTTTTTTCTTTTTTTTCTTCTTCTTCTTTTAATATACTTTATTAGTTAATAACTATATAGTATAGCTTATATAGACCAGACAGCCTATATAAAGTAATAGATTAGCTTTTTAAGAAAAGAAACTAGTAAAACTCCTTTCTATTTCTATATTATATTCTATTATAACCTATAGTCTTCCCTAAACAGATATTCGGCTTCTTGCCTCAGAAATAAATAAATAAATATTCCAGATCTCTCTATTTTATATATATATCTTTATATAAAAGGCTTTCTAGACAAATAGTAGTCGCCTCAGGTCCTTCTATCCCAGGCCCTCTTTTATATATAAATAGTTATATATCCAGATATTAACTAGAATTTCCGGTAGTCTATTTACGGCTCCCTTTCTTATCTAACCAAAATCCTTCCTGTCCTTCTTATAGACTATAACTATAACCTGCCTTTTTCCCTTTTATATTTTCGCCCGGCCCTTTCTTCCAGTTATGGGTATATATTTGAACAAATTATAATATATAAGAGGAGGTCAAAAATAGAGGGTTATATCGTGAAATTTTTTTTTCTCGGATCTCGATCGTAGGTATCGCTTGCAGGCGATTGCAATGGCGTTATCGGGGTCTCGATATTAAAGGTCGTAATTCAGTCTTAGCCCAAGAGTATAAAAGCCCTTGGTTTCCAGCCTGCACTGCGTGGAAGTGCTAAATCGTCGCAGGCCGGCATTCCTCCCTTCTTTACTCTCTAGCTTAGTATTTTCAATATATGAGATTCATGGAACTTTAAGCCTTTGACTATTACCTTAGTCCCGCCGTTACACTCTCCTTAAACCCTCTATAAAATAGAAATAAAAAGAAAAAAAGATATAATATAAAGATTATAGTATAAAGGTTACCAGATATTAGTTATATATTATAAGCTTTGGTCCTTGTTTAAATTTAAGAAATGAGAGTTCCTTTAATAAATGTCCTAAAACGATAGTTTAATCCCAAATAGCATTTTATATAAATCGGTAATTAGAAGGTAGCCAGAGAATATTCGCTTCACCTTCTGCTACCCAATAATTAGACACACGTAAGGTAGGTAGTAGCTTATAGTCGCGTGAGAAGGCTACGGAGCTGACCCCGGCAGAGTGGCCTTCGAGCGTCCACTGTACTTTGCCCATAGCGGCGTCCCAGAGCCGCACCGTCTTATTGAGCGAGCCCGATACGACCTGCTTGCCGTCGCGTGAAAAGGCCATGGAGCTAACCCCGGCAGAGTGGCCCTCGAGTATCTGTAGTACAGTATTCCAATATACTTGTACTTTTGGTTTTAACTCAATCCAATCTAGGATATAATCCCCAAATCGCCTTCGAAAAATACTTGGTTTTAACTGAATCCAATATAGGATATAATTCTCAAATCGCCTTCAAAAGTAGTACTACTATACTTCCAAGTATATACTTTAATATATTACATATCTCTCGTTTCTCTTTATTCGAATATTCTAAAGAAATCGAGTTTTTGAGAATAGTAAGGTAAATCTCATTGAGGTACTTCTCTGGTACTATAATAGTATAATGGGGATATAAAATACGAAGTAATATATAGAGTAGAATGGGCTTCCACAGTGTGGGATCACAGTATACGAGTAAGGAGTGAAATTAGAGAGTGAAGGTTGGTTTATTTCTAAGAACTAAGAAGGAGAGAGGGGTAATATAAGCGGACTGCGGACTGTACGGATGTCCGGAGGTCACATGACAGAACCACGTGACCAGGGGATAAAATCCCCACTACAATAGCACTACTACTGCCGCCCTTAAGAATTATATCTAGTCTCTTTAGTACAAATCGCTTTCCTTTACAGATAAACCGACATGCCATTACCGCCCAAATAAAGAGGCTACAAGTATATAGAACTAGCTGTCCCAGAACTACTTTGCCTAACTAGTATATTCTAAGACTTTACTCCTGCCTAATTATCCCTAGATTATATTCCAGAAATAAAGAGATATTATAGTTAATAATTATAAGCGGTATATTATAAAGTATAAAGTCTTCGTATTTAGCTTATAGAATATATTATATACCGTATCGGATTAGAATTTCGGGTCTACTCATTAGAAAAACTCGAAGTCATATTATTTTTAGTAATTAAGCCTTAGCTAAAAGCTCTAGAATAATCTGGATATTATTATTACCTTTATACTTATTAAGCGTATTAATAACAAAAATATAGAACTGGTAGGATTTCTCTAGCCTTAATAGGGGACCGAAAACAAGCTAGTACCACTAGTCTAATAGGAACAGATTCGCAATATTACTCCGCTCTCTTATAGTATTACGGATATAGGTTTAGAGAGATGGCATGGCATATGCAAGCTATACGGCAAGACTCATAAAGAACTTAACTACATGGCTCATATCTCCGCCACCCTTTAAGAAGAAGAAGCTGGCTTCAAGACGCTTCTGCTTATTATATTTGCGGGTAATAGTACGGGCGACTATTAACTTTCCCGTTCTAGCTAGGCCGTTTAGCCAGAAAATATATCGCTTATCTTGTCTGTCTGTTCTATTAGCCCAATTATAAATCTCTTATAGAAGGTCAATATATATATTAGGGAGGCAGGCAGATTTATATTACTGGTCGCGGGAATTAAACGGCACCTGTATTGCAGACAGAAGGAGGCTGAGGGGGTCTTCTCGGCCTATTATATGTCAGTTTATAGTAAGAGTCTTCTTTATACTTGCAAGAAGCTAACTAGTATAATATATATTTCCAAAATGGGCTTTTATGCCTTTATTAACCCGAATATTTCGGTACTAGTTACTAGCCCAACCTGGCTGCTCGGGATCTGACATTGCAATCCACCGTATAAGCTAGCTGCCGTAAAGTAGAGAAAGCGCTTGCGAGAGCCTATAGCCCTAGTCAATTAGTTATATAGTGCAAAAAGCTCTACCTTCTCTCGCAAATCGGTACTAACACGATCTCGTTATTAATGAGAGGCACAATGCATTTGCCCTATAGCGGAAAGGTCACTAACGAGCCTGGTCACATAAGTCTGTGTTTTTCAGGCTATCAGGCACACTTCACTCTAATTAATTCACGACTATATTATATTTAATTAGGAGTTGACTATCTATAATGCTTCATTAGCATCTGAACCCAATACTTCTGCTTTAGAATCAGCTTATTTATCCAATCTTATAGTATCCTGTTCCATTCCTCTAGTACTATTGCTTCCATCTCCGCAACTGTAGTGGGTTAATGCCTTTGTCTGTATAATACCGACTTGATTCTCCTCTAATACTTCTCAATTAGATTCATATTAGGGCTTATTAACAAGTGAGGCATTAAAATAATACCATATATAGTACGATATCGAGCACAGCAGTTTCTCGTCGACTTGTGACCGTAAGCTGAGTTGCCGTCTTCCATAAATAAGGGCTTGACAGAGGGGCAAAAGAGATGGGTTACAGCCGCAAAAGCCTCAAGAATTGGCTGGATATATTCGAGAACTTGAGAGAGATAATTCTTTTGCGTAAAGGCACCCTTCTTACTAGAACCGTAGATAAATATTAAAGGACTCTTATAGCTATATCCAATCGCTCCCTATACATTAACTAGTACCGTACCGCCGTAGTAAAACTGGTATTATATACAAGTTGGATGTGTCCGCTCCGACTTATTTCTTATTACTTTACACTTCACTGTCCTTCCCCCTACTAAGAATGTGACCTCGTCCGACCAAAGTACCTTTAGCCATTCCTCGTACCAAAATATATATATAATCGCCCAAAGTAATCGACCAAGAACTTGTGCGGCAATAAGGTAAGGTTTTTAACAAGCGATACAGCGAAAATAGCCTCTTTAGTGGAGTCGTTTCTATAATATAGAAGCCGTGCATTCCAATTCTAGCTCGTCAACCAGAGCTTAATAGTCCATAATTCTTTGTTCCCAATTCTTAGCGCAATATTCGATAATCTTGTTGACTCGCGCGTCCGTCAAAAGCTGTAATCTACCGGTTCGACCAGAACGAGCTCGCTCCGGCGCATTATACTCCAAAACGTAATAAATAGTGGTTTTGCCAAGCTTATAGCGCTCCATTAGCTCTGCAGTTAACTTCTCTCCAAAGCCATAGAGCTGGCATATCGCCTCCTTATGTTTCGTATCAATTTCAAAGCCTAGAGCGTGGTTAAATACAAGTAGTGGGGGGGTAGTAGGTATATTGGTGGGGTTGTTAAAATTGGGAGGTGCGCTCGCTAAAACAGCCTGAAAAATACAGACTTATGCAACCAGGCTCGTAAGATAATAAGGCTGCGGCTGAAATTCTGGTAAAGACTTCCTACTAACTCTCTCCCTCAACCTCTAGTATATCTCTTGCATTACCATTAATCTTAACAATGGCAGAGCCGTTCGGCATTATCTCCGGTGCCATTGGCATTGCATCTGCTTTCACTGCTTGTATTGACTGCTTCGAGTACGTCCAGTTTGGCCGCCACTTCGGTCGAGATTTCACGACTAGCCAGCTTGCTCTCAACTACGCGAGCCTCCGTCTTATATAATAGGGCGAGTCTGTCAATATCTACGACGATCCTAAACTAGGCAGGCAGGATACTACTATAACCGAGATCTAACTTGCAAAGGATATATTACTCCAAATTCTTATACTCTTTGCGGATACCGAGAGCATCTCCAAGAAGTACAAGTTGACTATAAAGGCTAGTAAGGATCTCTTAGTATATTTGACAGGCAATATGGATCCAAAGATAGTTATACTAGATAATAAGATAAAAGGCTTGGCTATATAGCATTAAAAGAAGGGTTGATTCTTAAACCTTGCTAGCTGGGCTCTCTATTACCGGTCCACTCTAAAAGACCTTCTCGAACAGATCGTCTTATTTATTAACAAGATTGAAAAATTATTCCCTATACCTCAGGCCCAAGCCATGCTTGTCTAATAAGAAGCAGCAGAGATTAGCGACAAGCAGTCTCTCGAGCTAATTGAGAATATAGCTATAGATATTAATGGCCTGCTTCAAAAAACGGTAAAGGAAGTAGTTGCAAGTCACTAGTACTCGAATATTACGCTCGGTAGTAAGGGTCTGGCCGGTAATGCGTATAGTAGTAATTAGAAGGGCGGTGCAATTAGGGCGTCTTATAAGTATAACGGTATTAAAGTGGAAGAGTATAAAAAGGGTCTGCTAGAGAACAAGTATGGCAGGAAAGACTTCTTTAATAATTAAGTATGTCTGTCTGTAATAACAACTATACTAGTAATAGAACTATTTCTGATATTTAGTCACAGTAATATGAGCTGTTAATCTCAGAACTCTATACTACAAATACGTCTGAAGTTACTATCCCATAGCCTACCTCTCTCCCTGTATCTGTAACGGCTCGAGTAGATCTTGTTCCTCATATAAATCGAAACCAAACGAGTCCTGGAAAGCGTAAGGGCTGCTCAATTATATCAGATTTCGAGAGTATTATAAAGGACAACGCTCGGCATACGGCAGGGTGCCGTTTGGAGGGCTGGCAGGCAACTGTCGACGCGGCAGACCAGTTGCTTAAATCCGTGTATCCTTATAAGTGAGCCTGCCAGCTTGTTAGTAATCGAGAAATCATTACTTCCGTACCTTATATAGAGATGGGATAAGAATTGGAACGACTGAGTGGCAACTCAGAATTAGAAAAATGCCACTCTGCGCCACACTTTCACGTAACGTATAAAAATATGTAATAAAATACGACTAGCGTGGCTGTAAATACAATATTGGGTAATGGTGCTAAATCCTTCCTCGTTTATTAAGATGCTTGGCATTGGCGTGCCTCCCACTTTTATCCGGATAAATTCAGTAGCAGATTTCCTTATACTCTGTGTCTTCAAACTTTAGAGTTATATTTGAACTTAATAGAAGCTCTATGCCACGGCCCCGAATTCCGGGGACAGATTAATAGTTATGATAGAGCAGGGGCTAACAGCTACAGCAGCTTTTCACGCTCTCAGCAGGACGATCGATAATATAGCCAAACTATAGTATTTTTCTAACTGCAAGTCAAGCCCTTGTCGAGAAATAGCTAAAGAACAACAGCAAACAGATTATAGCTTTATATATTTATATAGTTGAGTTTTAAGACCCCTAAACTATAAATTTTTTCGGCACACCGGTTTTTTCGGCACGCACGGATAGACGTTATACAAAACGCAAAAATATTTGCTCGCTTAATCACGTGCATTATATCTCCCTTAATAATAAAGATATTATAATTTTGAGAATATGAAATTAATTCCTAGAGTATATAGTATACTTTTAATTAATACGATTTATATCAATTAGTGTTGTGGTGGTTTTGGTTTTTTTTGTCGCTTTTGGATCGGACCAACTGTATAACACCTGTTGCATCCAGGAGGGCTGTCTCTGCTGCGCTTGCTTGTGTAGTTAAAGCTAACCCACTGAGTGTCTCGCCACGGCATGCTCAGGCAATTGAGAAGGCATTGCCTGAAGAAACGACGGTCGGAATTGTGGTCTCACTAAACTGCAGGAAATATGGAAGTTCATTAGTGCATATTGCTTAGCGCATCCTCGGCAGAGCTTCCGACAAGGGGGTGGATTGTATCGATATCGATATCGATATCGCTGAGGAAGGACGGCCCCTGAACATTGCGCTACCTTGGAGCAATCGTGGTGCTGTACTCGTCGCGGCTTCTTGGGTTGACCCAACTGGCCAACTGGCTCAGCGCCTTATGTGCCAGGCTTGGCAACGATTAGCGTTTTTAGCAATCGATTACAATCGATGCTATAATCGTAAGGTATCGATTAAATCGATTAATAATCGATTATAAGCGAGCAAATCCCCGCCCACGCACCCCCTTTTCTAATTCTGGATTGTTAAGGAGTTTAGTAAAGCATTATACTATATATAATAAAGGTAAGGCTGTCTTTTATTTATATATTTAAAGAAAATATTTAGAATTTTACTTCTCTTTTAGTACTTAAGGCCCCCTTTCCCTCTAAAGTTACATAATTTACCTTAATAAAAATCGCTATATTTGTATATTATTGCTTCTCTCCCTTCTCCCTAAGCCTTTATTATTACTTAAAAGGAAGCTCTTTATATATTATAGAAGCTATCTCTAGTAAATTATCCCTAGTAAGCTATCCCCAGGAAGTTCTTTCCAGGGAGCTCTTTATATATTACAGTGAGTTGTCTCTCAGTGAGCTGTCCCCCAAGAAGCTCTCCCCCAGGAAGCCCTTTGCGTATCGCAGTGAGCTGTCTTCTGGGGCACTCTTCCCCAGGGAGCTATTTCCCAAAGAGCTCTCTAGGGGAGAGCTCCTTGGGGAACAGCTCACTGCGAGACAGCTCACTGCGATACGTAAAGAGCTTCCTGAGAGACAGCTCACTGCGAGACAGCTCACTGCGAGACAGCTCACTGCGAGACAGCTCACTGCGATACGTAACGAGCCTGCCAAGATAAGTCTGTGCGCTTCAGGCTAATTTTCAGGCTTCGGAAAACCAAAGCCACTCACTTTACTTTAAATTCCCTAAATAACCACAAAGCATTATTATTTATTATTTAATACTATAACTAAGAAGAAGCTAAAGTGTATTATCTGATAATAATTTGGGCATTTCTGATAAACTTTAAAAAGTCAAAAATTTCTTACGGGGCTCGTTAGTGAGCAAATGGCTTGAAGCGCACAGACTTATCTTGACAGGCTCGTAAGGAGCTTCCTGGGAGACAGCTCATTGCGATGCGCAAAGGGCTTCCTTCAATGCTTGTAAGTTGCGGGGAAAAGGAAGCCCTATAATTATAGGCTACTTATTGCTAAATTTTAGGGCCACGGTCGCTAAATTATAGGCTATAGGTACTAAAAATTTAGTGCTTGGTGCGGGGTATTACTATCCCCTCCCTTGTGTGACGGCAGGAACAAAGCAATGGAACGATGCTCAAAGATCAATGATTTCCAATGTCCTACAGAATCTAAAGCTAAGGAGAGAAGGAGTGAGGTGTGGCAGTGGATAAGTAGGTATGGCCAAGACCACTGAAACGCCGAGCTTTGGAAGCGAGCTTGGTTTGAACCATAGCTTGGAACCTTAGCTGAAACCAACCCCTTTAGCTGAAACCAACCCCTTTAGCTGAAACCAACCATGTGACACCAGCCGTCACACCTTGAATAATTACGAGTGGGTCCAATATTCGCCACACTCTCATGCCACGATTCATACCACTAAAGGCACGCAATCGAGGGTCTATAGCGAATAGCGGCTCTCGAAAGCACCTGATATTTCCTAATTCGGGGATACTGACGAAGTTTCAGTGTGGCGTTACTAAAGGACCCACTCGTAATTATTCAAGGGGGGGGATAGTAATCGTTTAGTAATCGATTACTAATCGATGCGGTTCGATAGTATTCGATTGTGCGCAAAATCGATTACTAATCGATTGCTTAGCAATCGTTGCCAAGCCTATTATGTGCGCAACTGTTTGCCATAATCTATATGTTTTAAATAAAACGTTACATGACCCGATACAATAATATTGTAATCGTGTTCTTTTACCTTCTATTTACTAGCGGTGAGCTCACTGTCAATCGTAATCTCTCTGCTTTCCGAGGTCGTGCCCTAAACCCACGTTACTAACTACTTGAGATCTCTTCTTTTAAGCTTTACAGTTATATCGCCTTATTAGATCCTCTAATTTTTCGCTTAAAGGGGCCGTTAATTGTAGAGATTTTATCTTAACTATAAGTAATGAAGGACTAATATAATACCTTTAGTAGACTCAAGAAATTTCATTCTTGATACTTTCCGAAAGCAAATTAGGACTCGTAGCTTCCAACACAGTGTTCACCTCCTCAATACCTAGGCTTTTCCCCAATCTTCGTGCGAGAAGCCTACTGGTCTTGACAACGTTCTTAATCTGGCGACCGTTCAGGTCAATCTCTGCCAGTTTCATGATCTCAGCCTCTGAGATGGAAGTCAGAAGAGGAGCATGTGTTTCCACTCGAGTGTGGTGCGAATCAGGTACCAGGGTTTGCACATCTGACGTCGTGCCGGCTGCTTTGGGGGGAGCAGAAGATTCGGACACTGAAATATCAGGTGCCAAAGGCTCAGAGGGTTTTGGCTTGTTGGGTGCTAACAACAGGAAGTTGCGCCAGATCTGAGAGCGTGCAGAGGAGGAGAGTGGGGGATAGTTGATCGTGATGTGGATACGAGATTGGAAAGCAGAATCAAAAGCAGAAAGGCGGTTAGTGGTTAGGAAAAGAATTCCTCTGTAGTATTCCAACATTCGGAGGAAGACTTTGCTCGTTAGCTGATATTATCACGGGTACACGCCGAAGGAGTACTTACTTGAAACAAGCTTATTTCTCTCTAGATGAGAACTGCTTCGTTGTTCGAGAAAAACATCGGCCTCGTCTAACAGAAGCACCGAATTCCATTTTGTGCTTATTTCTAGAATCTTGGTGAGAGATTCCTCGAGATTGGTTGCGTCTAGACTTAGTTCGCCGGCTGTCATGGAGTAGAGTGGGGCTCGCAAAGTCTCGGCGACTAAAGAACAATGAGCTATCAGTTGCCATGTATCGATGCTCTCTAGAGCCTTACCTGATTCAGCAGTCAATGTCTTTCCAACACCTGGAACACCAGCTAACAAGATTATAATTCCTCGTCCTTAGAAAGTCAGCACTGCGCTTGGCATAGAAACGTGTGCATAGGATATTTGAAATCAGACCTTTTCCTTCGATCACGTCATCAAAATCGTCCTTGTAGTGGAGTTGTCCCTCCACGAAAGAGAGGATGAGTTGTTTGTAGTTCGATGGTAAGACCAAACTTTCAAAAGCATTCTCGTCCCACTTGATGTTGCTAATATCTGCCACTGCGAAGGATGCTAGACGACATGAGCTTTGTTGTAAAGGTAACCACACAAGTGTTTACTCACCCCAGTGCTTCGTCTTTAGTGAAAATCCTCTGACCGACTGCGTGCACAAGATCAACTCATTATCTGTCAGTGGACGGCTCGCTATTCAACTAGTCAGTTCTCAATTATTTCAATATCATGGAGCCGCATTCACCTGAGACTATCTTGAGCTTCTTTCCAACTTTTAGTCCCGCCGTATCATACTCGTCTGAGTAGCGGTAGGGCTTAGTCACTTCGCGAGGGGTTCTATTGTAACTTCCGTAATGTGCATCGTAGGAAGATGTAAAAGTCGAATTATGAATATCCGTATTTTTCAACATGCCCGGTATCTCGAGTAGTTTTCCTTGGTCGTCCAAAGACTTCAGCGATTTTACTTCATGCGGATTGAAGCGGAAATACGAGCCAGCATCCACAATTATTCGACCTTCGACCTATCCTTATATCAGTTGCTAGTGGAGCAAAAATTTCCTGAGAGGCCTACATGTCGAGTTTCACTGCCAAAAGACCAGACGCCAGCATTGGCTTCGACAACCATGCCTCTATGGGCCATGTAGTGAAAACCCTGCAGTTCTTCGAACTTTTTCCCTTTCATCACCAGAGTAGCCTTCACCCCGTCCAATCCCGGATCGAACGAAGCTGGATACCCTTCTAAATCAGTAATCGGCCTGGTTCCATCAAACTTTGGGATTGAGATTGTTGCTCTGTCATAGCCGAATTGGGTCCCATCCCAATCGATGAACCTTACCCAAAGAGTGAAGCCGCCGGAATTGCCATAGTCTGCATCGTTGAGGAGAAAAATGCGGTCTTTCTCAGTTCTGATCATCTCTCCTGGAGTGAAGAGGGCCCAAAGATACTCGAAAGTGATTACTTTGTGAGCCACGAGATCCTTGAATATTTCGACTGACTCTTTGAGCTCGTTGTTGATAATCTCGTACAATAGCTTTGTTTGATAAAGCGCTTTAGGGTCATCCCGGTTCCTTGAACCTTCTTCAAGACGATCGAGTCGCCGAAAAAATGCTTGAAAAGGAGCTGCGAAAGAGAGATTGTCTAGGCCAGTTGTGATGCCGCTGTAACCTTCAAAGACCTCCTCAAGGACGACTTTGAGAATAGAACTCTGAATGTCGATTGAATGAAGTACTAGAGGTTTGTCGCCCTTGTGATTTCTCATGTACTTCGTCACGATAGCGTGCTGTTTGACTTCATTTGTGGCTAGTAAGTTCTCTCTCAAATTGTCTGGGTATTCTTCTACCCAATTGATGCAGCAGGAACACTTCTGTGGGCCCTCATACAACTTTTTGACGTTGTCCTCCACGCCGTATTTGATACGATTAGGCACCATAGGGTCGTACCATTTCTTGGATTTTGAACTTGAAGAGTCTAGGCTTGCTAACACATCTTCGATGTCTTCATGTGACTCTTCAGCGGATTGCTTTGCTGGTTCTTTGCCATTCTTGGTCCGCTTCCACTTATGTGATAGCATGGTCAAGTATGTTCACCTTGGACAGTCGTCGAAGAGTCGATGTATTGTACCGGGGATGGCAGAGTCAAACCTTAAACCTTGTGTCTTTGATTCCAAGAGAGGCGCTAACGTAAAATCAAATAAGTTTTGGAAAAAGAGCAGCAACCTCAAGAAGATTTCAATGGAACAATGTAAAAACGTTGCTGGTTTTGGGAAGATAAGTTAAGTGGAGCCTATTAATGCATCGAAATTTGAAATGAATTTCCTTTTTACCGCCGGGATTTGTGTTCGCCGATCATTCGACGCCCGATATGCACGAATCCTTCGCAAGTCGGGCGGAATGATACGGCTTACATAAATATAAATACGACTGGGCCTCGTGGAATGCCTTGCGCACAATCCTCAGCCTACTCTCAGACTGTAGGAGTTGCTGACCCATCTCGATTTCGGAACTTTTGACTTCAGCCTCGTCTTTGCTTTCCCCAAGACCAAGCTAGCTTTGCATGGTAGGATTAGCTATGGCAGAAAATCTCTTCAATCGTTTAGTACAGAACAATCATCTCAATGAAGTAAGACGCCTGCCAGATGCCGTATGGGGTGATGACCCCTTTCACCTGCGGTTCATGGACTTCTCGGCACGACAACGAGAACCAGGCTCTCGATCCGACCCAACTATCCAATTTCTCGAACGCTTCTACTCCAACGTGACGAATCGCGATGGTCCTGCCTTTGCGCTGGGCCTGCCGCTTCCAGCATCCAATGACCCAGACTGGGAAGCCATCCCCGACGAGGCTGGCGAGCATACCGACGAGTCCGGAGCTAGCTTCAGGGTGGTGCTTCGAGACAAACCGGGGAAGATAAAAAGAGAAGTTGACTACGCCTTCTTTCTGGGCACAAATATTTTGAGAAATGCATCTCGCTGGATATATTTTAGCACCAATGGTGATGAATTTGAGAAAGCTCAGATGGATGATCTTGTACTCACTGTTATCGAGCGTATGCGAGAAGATAGGAGCGCAGAGTCCTATGAAGCCCAAGCCGAGATTATGGAGTCAAGTGTGCTATACGATGACGTCGAGGGTAGTTCTGCTATTCGAGATAGATATTCAGCTATCTATCGGCCATTACCGCGAGGAACGGGAAATATCCGCTTACTCGTGCTTCTACCTTCTCAGGAGAAGTCTGCAGATTTGAAGTGCATACTCTGCGCTGCTTCCCTCCAAAAGGAGCCCAAATATGAAGCTCTATCGTACACATGGGGAGATCCTCAAGAAACTTTCCCTATCCTGCTGAACGGAGAGGTCTTTCATGCTACAAAGACTTTAGTTGGTGCCTTACGGCACCTGCGTTATACAAAGGAAGGAAACGTCAGGGTCATGTGGATCGATGCCGTGTGTATTAATCAGTCCGATATTGAAGAGATGAATCACCAAGTCGGGCAAATGTCCCAGATATACTCAGCCGCAGAGAAGGTCGTTATTTGGCTTGGACCAGAGACTAACACTACTGAAGACGCGGTAGCATTCATGACATATGTGGTTCAGCATGGAGAAAGCGACGACGCTGCATTTGCCATGGCGGATTGGATCAGACGAAAATTCGAAGATGCGAGTCAAGCATTCGTATTTGAAGCGCTCAAGAATCTGTTTCTCCGCCCGTGGTTTAAACGAGCGTGGATTGTCCAAGAAGTTGTCCTTGCTAAGACCGTCACCGTGAATTGTGGAAGCTTTTGTTTTGATTGGAAGATCATCGAACGCTTTTCCAATATCTTCATGCATGCTGCAGGACAATTAGGAGATGCGAATCAATTGGAGAAATCCAAGTTCGCCATTTCATGCATACTCAATATGTCTCCACTCATCCACGCATTTCGATCCTGCGACGTTTTACAAGCGTTGAAGAATGAGTTGGCGGATTCTGGTCCGCCGCCACTGGCTACAATTCTTAGGAAAATGAGGAGGCAGAATGCAAGTAACCCAAGAGATAAGGTTTATGCCGCGCTTGGCATAGGACCAGCGTCCGAGAGGGAGCATCCAGCATTGCAACCGGACTATGGATTATCCATGGCAAGGGTTTTCATCCATACGTCTTGCTACCTACTACTCAAATACCAAAACCTCGATCTTTTCTCCGCGAAAGCGCTGGCTCCTGATCTCTCTCCATTCGACACCAATTTTATTCTTCCAAGTTGGGTAGTCGATTGGACGGTTCAAGATGAGCTGTTTCCCTTGGCAAATGGAAACTATGCAGGGCCGGAGGTGCACAAAGAGCACGCCCCTGAACCACTTTATAAAGCTGGAGGAACAGTATCACCTACACCATACACCTTCTCCTCTGATTTGAGGACCATAGGTATGGGAGGGTACTGTTTCGACGAGATCGTCGACGTGGGTGCATTAGCTTCGGAGTCCCAAGAAATGTTGCCGGTTCCGGGAGCAATGAATTCATGGCGAGGATATCTTGTCGGCAAGGAGTTCAAGGAATACATATCTGGGGGCTCCTTAGTTGAAGCTTTCTGGAGAACAGTTTTGTGTGATATCTGGCCAAGTAGAGAGAGGAAGCTCCAGCGGATCGGGGACAAACTATCGGACATTGATTCATTTCCTCCAGAGACTCCGGAAGAGGAGAAAGTTCTTATGGTGTGGGCAAGGATGAAAATTGGAAGTTGGCTCAGATGGAGGAGACTAATCGTCACCAAGAAGGGGTACATCGGGATGGGCCCAACCGGAGTGAGAATAGGAGACACAGTTGCGGTTTTGGAGGGAGGCGTAACACCATTTATATTGAGGAAGTACGGTTATATGTATAGGCTTGTAGGGGAGAGGTAAGAAAGCTTCGCTGACTTCGAACAAGACTAACCATGCATATTAGTTATGTTCATGGAATTATGGATGGAGAGGTTCTAGAAATGGCCGAAAGAGGCGAGTGCACGCTTGAGGGGGTTTTCCTTGCTTGAGGCTGTAATACGAGTTTGGAAATGGGACTCTAAGAAGGGAGAACTTGAAAGGAACGAGGTAGTGGGACAAATAGACTGAAAACCATCAAGTACACGCCACCGAGGAGAGGGTCTTTGCACCGAAGCAAGCTCGCCCTATGTAAGAATACAACATACGACGCTGACGCAAGGAGACTAGATGATGAAAACGGATATTTACTTGTACATTGCATCTTGCAAAGCTTCACTGTACAAATTTGGGAGTAAAACTGGCCGAACAGGCAAACAGTTGCCAATCACGTTCACTGATGTGACATTAAGAAACCCGATATTGAATTTCACCCTAAATACGAGCAGTGTTTCTCTGCAACTCCTCTCTAATTTCCTTCAAAAATTGGCCACTATCGAGGCCAGGACCTTGGATTCGATACTGGTAAAAATCAAGAAGACCAGAGAAGGAGAGTACAGCGTTTGTAAGATGACTTTAACTTGAGCCGAACTATAAAGCTGGTGACTATAAGACGATCTATTCGGGGAAACTTTAATTTAAAGATCTTCTTACGGCAGAGGTGTAATTTGTTGAGGTCAAAGACCTGAAAGTCAACTACTAAGTTTATTACTCTTCTTAACTAGAGAATAACCTAATATATAATAAAAATACTCTCATAAAGATTTTAGAGGAATAGAAACCGATTTAGGGGGAGCAACTTACTATTATAAATAAAATAAGTATTAGAGTTAAATAAAGATCTTAGAATTTTAGTAAATACTTATAATAGTAAGTAATTAATATAAGACTAGATATTTTAAGATATAATATAGTTAGAAATTAACTTAAAATTAGAACTTCTAACTCCTTGAAGTTCTCTGCTCTAGTTTGAGAAGCTGTTATTTACTTTCATATCACATTCATAGGAGACTATAATATTGGAGGGTTCCCTCAGAGATCTTGTCTCTGAGGTACCATGAGACGGAAATCCATTCTACGTAATGTGCATCCCCAATTTGAAGTCACCCATAACCACCCTAAGTCCAACATAACACAACCTGAACGCCAGTTCCACCCCCAGCCACCGAATAATGAAGTGTTATACAGTTTTGATACTCCCTATACGATTCCAGAAACCCATCCTACTCCCTGCTCTATGTCACGAGCTCAGCCGTAGCACTTGAAGCTTGGCTCATCCCCACATCAGAAGTCGCCGGCACAATAAACTCCTCCAGTGCGTTCTCATCTACAAATTTCCTCTCACTAACATGCTCCTTTGCACTGTCCGCTGTCCAGACTTTGTCCTCGAACTTTCCTCGCTTCTGACCATCGACGTACTTGAAAATGCAATTTGCCTTAGGCAAGGGTTGAATTTGCACTCGACCTTGCTGTGCAAGAACTTGCATTGTGTGAACGATATCTTCGTTTAATTGGTTTGCTAAATCAGCCACATACTGCATCTCTTCGTCTTGTCGCTGAGAAATAGTGAGAGTAGGAGCAGAAGAAGCAAAAATCGCGAGAGCGAAACCGGAAAGAATAGTGATTGAGAACTGCATTTTGAATAGGTTACTCGAAAGGGAAGAGCAACGATATTGAGATAAGGTGATTGATGATGTTTAAACTATTAGGGTTAATTATATGCTATTATAAGGCCGGCGTCATAACTCCAGGGGGCTCAAATTGGCTACCTAGTAATATTATTAGAATTAAGGTTCAGCAGTTATTTTTAGTATATGTCTTTATTTGGCCCCCTTAGGAAGGGCCAAATCCGGTTCCCTGTCTAATATTCGGCAATGGAAAGTCACGTGTTTGCCTTCGATTCAAGCACAACAGAAATCATCTTAAGCGAGGAACACTAGCATTACACCCCTTACCCTGAGATCCTTTTTCAGTATTATTATATTATTAGGTGTTATTTGTGGAAGTTCTTTACTAAGTTACTTTTATGGCATTAACTCTTCCTCTGGAACTGAATTATCAGTTTTTCAAAAAAAAAAAATCAATTTTATAATTATAATACAAGTTAGTTACAGGATGTAATCTTATATTCGAGTTAGATCTGAAACTTTAGAATGCATTTCTTATCTTAAAGACAAAGCACTTCAATATATTAATCAAGATAATAAAGGATCGAGAATCTCTTGCAGATACCCTCTTAAGTCAATTCCTCTACTTTACTCGAACCGCCTTCCTTTACACTCAACTATTTATCCCACCACTTCCTTATTAAGTAGCAGAGAGGTCTTAGATGCGTATTATAGTAGTATAATATCCTCTTATTATAGTGCTCCCCTATCTATAGTAACTGCAGGTTACAGATATGGCAGGAATATATATATAAATCTCTTTCTTCTCTCTCTTCCTGCCTTTTTTATTTCCAAGAACCGGTCCTTATTAACTAAAATAGTAATATATATATTATATCTATTACTAGTAAACTCTGTAGCCCTTCTACTTCAAGAAAGAAGAAATCCGAGAATTGCGAAAGGTAAATAACTATTTATATATACTATATAGTAATCTTAAGTAGCTACTATAATTATATTTCTAATTTTATAAATTTAAGCCATTAACTGCTTCTATATCTATATTTACTCTAGAACTAATATAATTCGGAATAGAGATAGAAGTAATCTACTTTTATTATTAATATTTAATTAATATTTATAATTATTTTTATTTTTATTTTCAAAGAATTTCTGAGAGATTAAAGAAAAATAAACTTTATTTAATAATATATAGTTTTCTCGGGCATTCTTATTAGGCTCTCAATAATTCTATAGGCTATAAGATATATCTCTAGCCTAATATAGAAATATTAATATAGCCTTTATAAATATATATCTATTTCTAAAAAGATAATATTTCTAAAAGTATTTTTAATTCTTACTATTTTAATAGTAAATACAATTTGTATTATTATTAATATTTATAATATATAAATACTTATATATTAATCTGGGCTAATATTAATTATAAACTTTGTATTTCTACTATTTAGATATTATATAAGGCTTTTATATAAAAGCAGTAGCCTTTTATTATCGGATTATAATTGTATTTATTATTAGATAGCTAATATCTCAATTATTAAGGCTCTAATATATTTAGTTATTACTATTATTTTAAAGATAAAAAAGGCAGATACTATTTTTTAAATAATAATTTAAATAGTCTATTTTATCTCTTTTATTATAACTATAATCCAATTAGTATTATAGGTATTCTTAATAATTATTATTATACTTTTATTAATATTTACTATTTCTATTAATTATTATTATAAGGTCTTTATAATTATTTATTAGTTCTTAATAGTAGTAATTATAATAATAGTTTGAATCTATATAAGAATAAGAAAATAAAATATAATTCCTATAATATATTTACTAGATGCCTTTAGTATTTTAATAATTATATAATATTTTTGGCTTTTTAGAATTATATATCGAAATTTAAGAATTAGAAACAAGCTTATATAAGTAATAATAGAAAAAAATATAAGATTATAATTATATCTATTATACTTTTAAGGCCTTGAAATTTTAAGGCCGGCTAGTATATTAAAATCTATATACTATATCTGAATTAAAGTTTTTATTTATAATAGTATTCTTTTTACTTCTTATTATATAAGCTTATTAATAGTAATATAGTTATTTGTCTAATAATTAGAAAGAGAAAAGGATTTATAATATTACTTATAAGTAAAGAAACTCTAGAAATACTTGCCTTAATTAATAGTTCTTATAATAAAGAAATTCAATTTAGAACTTATAATATAGTTTTATTTTTTATTAGTAAAATCGGAATTATTAAAATATTATTATATATTTATTAGGCTTTAAAAAAATTATATATAAAGAATTAGCTACTACTATATATATTTCTTCTAGAAGATTAATAATAATATAGCCTATAAAAATATAATAAACTTATATTTTTATAAATTATTATTATATAATATAAATAGAAATATCTCTAATTTCATTTATATTTTAATTTAATTTAAATTCTCGGTTTAACTAATTAATATAAGACTTAATATAGAAAAGAAAATCTATTTAATTATTAAAATAGTACTAGATAGTATTATAGTTTTAAATAAATTTTAAAGAATTTATTAATTTACTATACTAATTATAATATAATATATATTAGCTAAAAAATAAATAAAAAGGCTCGAAAATTATAATATAATCTCTTAAAAATAAAAGTTTATCTTTTTAAGCTTGAGTTTTATTTAGAGTTAGTATTTAGAAATAAAAAAGAAAAGCTAGAAAGTTAGAATAATATTTATTTCTATATAATAAAAAATTTAGTATATTAAAAAAATTTCAAAATTTCAAAATTTCAAAATTATTATATTAATAGAAATAATATAATAAATCTATTACTAATTTTAAATATAATTTTTTTTAATTATAATTAATTTAAAAGAAAAATTATAAAGAAAAATTCGTAATTCTTATAATTTTATTAGTTATTTTTAATATATTACGTTTTTTATTATCTAGAAATATATATTAGTTAATAAAACTTTCTAATATATAGGCTTATATTAATTAATAAATTATAGAAAAGTTGCTTTATTAAAACTATAACTCGAGTACTTATATAATATTTTCAAGATATTAAAAGATATAAAGTTTTATAAGTAGTTATATATAATAAAATAAATATTAGAACTATATATTAAGTAAGATTTTAGAAATACTATTATATTATATAATTAATTCCTTAATTTAAGTATTATTTTTAAAACTATTTTATATAATATATTATATAATACTATAAGAGAGCTACTTTTAATAGACCTCTAATAATTAGCCTTTATTTTATATCTTTATTTTTTAAGAAAATCTTTAAATCTGGGCCCTAATAAATTATTTCAATTTCTATTTGAAATTCTTAAAATAGTAATTTATATCCGGTTATAGCCTAATTTATAAAAGAATATATAATTAAATTATTAAATATAATATTTTATAATAAATAAATTATAATAGTACTATTAATTTATATAATATAAAATAATATTATAATTTATTATCTTAATAATATTAAAATATAAAAATAAAAATAAAGTAATATAAATTTTTATAAAAAATATTTTAAGATATATATTTTAAATAAAATTAGAATAAAATTATTTCTTTTATTTAAAATAAAACTATCTAATCTAATTTCTATTAAATTATAGATTTTATAGATTTAGAAATAGAAAATAATACTTTATTATATAATATTAATAAGAAGCCAATTTTTATTTTATTCTAATATATAATAAGGCTTTATAAAAATAATAAAAATAATAAAAATATTAAGAAAGAAATAATAAATCTTATTAAATAAAGGGAATTTTAGGTAATTCTAAATATTAGAATTTAAAATAAACTTTTATATATTATATATAAATAATTTATAATAAATATTAGATATAAAGAATTAAATATTAAATATTTTATTAATATTACTTTATTTTTAATAAAATAAAAGAATAAAGTCTATTAATTAAATAATAAAGCAATTTTTATTAAAAATATTATATTCTTATATTATAGCTAGTTAAATATATTATAAAATATTTATAAAAGTACCAGAATTAATAAGCTATTTATATTTTATAACTTTATAATATTTATAAATACCTTAAGCTTTCTTGAGATATTTTAGCTTATTATTTTTTCTTCTTATATTTTCTAGTATTACAAGTTATATATAAACCACGTAATTATATATATCCTTATATAGTAGAATAGCTAATAAGGCTTCTAATCTTATTATTATGCCTTTTGGCCTGCTTACTTATATTATAAAGCTATTTCCCTATATATATAATTATATATTTAATTAATTTATAATAGAATAATAAGGTTTCCAGTTTTTATATATCTGAAATTTAAGCAAGTAATTACTTAAGCAAGGCTATAAAGCTGAAACCGACTAAGTTTACTCTGAGATTACATTTTATATATAGCCTAATAAGCTACTACTATAATAAAATAGGGCAAGAGCCTAGGCTAGCTAGTAATAAGAACTTTTATAGTTTATATAAGGTTATAGTTAATTATATAAGTTCCTTTCTTTAATAAAATATCCGAGTTAAAGCTCGGAAATAAGCTTTCCTAAAAGGAAAAGGTAATATTACAAGTTATATACGAATTATATAATTATATATACCCTTATATAATAGAATAGCTAATAAGGCTTTTAACCTTATTATTATGTTTTTTAGCCTGCTTACTTATACTATAAAACTATTTCCTTATATATATAATTATATATTTAAGTAATTTATAATATCTAATAGCTAGAAGAAACTTCTAATAATATTAAAATATTAGACTATAAACTAGTTATATAATATAGTATTCTATTTTCTAATTCTGCTATTTTATATATTTTAATAAAAGCAGATTTAATTCTTTATAATAATAATAAACTATTAAATTATAAATTAATCTTGCCTTTATATATTAGCCCGAACTTTAATTAGAGCTTCTTTAATAAAAATAATATTATTAAGATCTTTTAATTTAGTTCAGAATCTAGT